ATATATATATATATAATTACAGAGAGTCTGTCTTGTTCAGCTCTATTTTTTTCGCCCACGGAGAAAAAAACATTACAAACACGCCGGTCACGAAGTGTTATGGAACAAGTTAGATATGTCCTTTTTGACCCTATATAGCTATGTACCATAGTTATACAATTGTTGACCGCTGACTTGTGTTTATCTTTTATTATGATGTACAGTCTCTGTGATACGTGTATTTGTACAAGTTTAAATATGAGACTGGTTTGTTAGACAAACAAACGTGGTGTGTGTTCAGTTAGTTTGAGTTTGGGTGCATGTGTACATGTACATAAGATATGTTTGTATGGTTAAAATTTCCCACCCAGTAAGTCGTTCTGTGGCAGCCAGCTCATCAGCTTGGTGTTGTTGCCCAGCCCGGCCGGCTTCTCTCCCGCGTACCGCCACACCACCTTCTGTCGGAGTTGTGAGAAGGCTGCTGCCATGACCTCTGCCCTTTCAGGGTTGATAGTCTTGACCTGTGAGCCGAAGCTGACTACCACGACCCCAGCACTACCAGAACTCTGCATGAACAACTCTAAATCCTGTAAAGGAGAGGATTGGTTACCATTATTCGACAAGTGCAACGTGCTTCTAATATGTTGGTATGGAGGAAGAAGGTGATCTATACTGTATGTTACCACACATAAACACACTCACTGCATAAACATACAAACACACGCACAAAATTATCTATGAGTATGCACATACTGTACATACATGCACGCACAGAAGACAAGCAAGAACATACACGCGCATGCCACCACATCACACGATCACACACACACACACACACACACACACACACACACACACGCACCTCGGTAAGTGAATTGGCCGCTTGAGAGTTTATCCCTCCAACGTCGACCATGTTGGGCATTCTCGGGTTCGGGAGGTCCAGCAAAATGTCGGTTCGATAAAGCCACACATCCGTCTTCGCCAGAACCCCCAGAAGAGTCTCCTCCTTGCCGAGGTACTTTTTCTCCAGGTCATTGTTGATACGTCCCACGATCCATTGAAACACCACAGGCACTGCACACGACATGATAACGTTCTGTACCCGCTGTGAGAAAGTCATCCGGTCGGTAAAACTGGATAGGAGAAACGGTACATAGGACGGGGGACGGGGCACACCTGTGGCGAGGGAGTCAAGTCCCGAGGGGTCACCACGCAGGAGGGCAACATGGGGGACGCCAAGGTAAGCTGCGACTATGGCTCCACACTGGCAAAAGAAAGGCTCTGATACGACAACCTGAAAACGTGCTTGTTTTAGTCTCCCCATCAAGTCTGCATCTGCCAGCAGTAGATCACAGTGTTCAGCCATTAAGTTCATCCCCACATGGAACTGTTGCAACACATGGAAGACGGACTTATTAAACGCGTCACTCATCCGACCTGTGTTGGCTTCCAACCCCGCACGGCTTCCTTGATCAAAGAACGACTCGAACCGCAGCTCGGGTCTCTCGGCACGACGTTTGTCCACGATGTCCTGAGAGACAACAACGGTGACGTCGTGGCCCCTCCCCGCCAAGGCCTGGCCGACTGACGCTAGAGGGAACCAGTGACTGCCCGCTACGGCCAGCGGCACCACCAGAACCTTCTCCGCCCCGATTCCGTGAACTGTCAGAATTATCATCACACACAACAGTACATTCTGCGATCTGATCTCCATGGCGTTGAAAAGATCCTGGCGTTGTTTGAGAGGCTACGCGGAAGTGACCTGAGATCCGAACGTGTCTCAAATTCTCAAGTTCTAAGCAGCTGGCTTGGGAGTTTCCACAGTTTGTAGGTCTTGTATGTAGACAGCTGAAGAATGACGACCTTGTGCCACAGAAAAATTACAACCACAATTTGTGGCGCTCTACAAACTATTATGGTTTTATAATAGATAATTCAGTAGGTACACGTGCTTCACGTAGGCAAAACGACCGGTGGAACATTGACCTGCTAGTTTACTCAGCACAGGGGGCGTTGCTGTGGCGATGACATGAGGTCAGTCGAACGTCGGGTCGTACCACTTGTCGAACGATACCGTACTAATATATAATAATATTTTGAAGAAACAGCGACCAGTAATTGACTAAAATATCATCATGCCAGTTTGTTTTCGAGAAATGTATCTGAAAGAAGACCCGTTCTTTAGCTGTTCCATGTGTAGTCTTAGGCTGAAATCGCTACATATCTCTAGATTTTTGACACTAGTCTATTTATCTGTTTAGGCTGAATCCATATTCACGAAAGGAAACACGAAGGATCAGATGTTTGTTGTGGCAGCTATCATTTTCCCATTTTTCGTATTTTATTCTTAGACTATTCCTTTAGGTTTTCAAGGCAAGTACATGTTTGGCAAAAACAGTTAAACGAATGTCAAATAAGAATCGAACTTTAATCTACAAGCAGATGTAGGGGTAGAAGATTAAACACTTCCTTTTTAGGAGATTAACTACACAGCATTTTATGTTACTCATTACTTATCATAAAGTACTAGAATTTCCTATTGTTTACTTAATTTAGTTATCAGGATATGTAAAGATAAGACTCTGATAATTGTTGTTATTGTTGTTTTCCATGCATTGTACATACAGATGCTTTGTAATAAAGTTTATCAATTAATTCTATGTATGCAACGTAGCTTATGGCGTTACACACAGCAGATACTGCTAGTGAGCCACCTCTTACGTTGCAATCTTTGGAATTCTCTACTGAGACTTCAGCTTGTCGCCACTTTTACGACAAATCTTTCTACAGACTAGAAAACAGCTGCACCAGATGAGCACAAGAACAGCTGAACAGACGGCCAACAAGAAGGCAGCCACGTCCAGCAGGTAGTACTGGTACCACGGCAGCTCCACGGCGCGTGCGCGGAGATGGGGCAGTCCGCCATGTTTGATGACGTGTTCTATCCACCAGACGGCCCGCTCCATGGGTGACTGGGGCTGGTCACGGTGCAGACGGGACAGGCGGGCTGCCGTCTCACGGTAGCTAGTATCGGACAAACAAGAACAAATCTGTAGCATAGTCCAATCGAAGGGAGAAGTAGTTTTCCTTGGTATGCCTACCTTGTCTAAAACGATATTGTCATTAGATCAACAATGGCAAAGAAATCTATCTTTGCTGCAAAACGTATCAATTTCAATAGAAACTAGAAAGGCCAATATTTGCTTTGGAGCAAATACAGCGATGGGTTCACCACATTTTACGACATGGCTGGGAAAGAATGAGAAACACAAGGGAAAACAATGATTATGGGTTCACCACACCACGAAGTGGTGGTGAACCCATATTGCTTTTTCTGATGTTTCTTCTCATTCTCCTTCTCCTTCTTCTTCTTCTCCTGCCACTTCTTTAAATTGATTCAACTCCTTCATTTTTGGGCGAAATTACCTGTAATTTCGTATAGAGGTAGAGTGGGTAAATACCCTTAGGCGTTTTTTAAATTTTTTTGATACAAGATTTTACAATCGTTTTATTTGCTTTTTAGTGGTCCCCATAGGAAAGTACTGTGGGGGCGTACGCGCGTGACGTAATAAGAAAGGAATTCGGGGGAAGGCCCAAATATGGGCATACAAGCAGGTGTGGTCATGTTTGCAGATGTGGCTGTTGATTGGCTGTTGGCTAATTAATTTATTTACTACCATTTTCACGTACAATAGGGGGATTACCAGCGCGGCTGG